TTTGCAATTTATCCACTTTGTTTAGCTGACTTTTAAATTCCACTAGCATACAAAAAACTTTTAAAAATCATGTCGAAATACATAATAATTGTAATATTTTAAAACAGTACAATTATTGTATTTTTTATTGGGTTAGGCACCATGAAAATTTGGTGGAGGGTTGGATTTTATACAAAATGTATGACTCCAAATGGCAAACACCATATTTACTGACTAGAAAACAATTTATAGTTAGATCAATAATGACGAGTTTCTATAATACCATGTACTTTTTAAATTTTTTTTCATCTAGATTCTTAATAATATATCTCTGAATTCCATTTTCCCCCGGTATTTCATAGTTTTACTAAAGTTGATCGCTTTATTATTTCTTCTCTGTTCGGGGTTAGGCATTCAAGTTATGTCTAATACCTATCCTTCAAAAAAGGATATTATAAAATTCATTATCTACGAACTACAATTAACTTACCTTTATATCCAGCAGCAGTTAAAATTCCTATTGAATTTCAAAATTATTCAAACGAAATTATACAAAACTTTTGCTTCAGTAGGTACCATAAAGTAGGTGGTATCTACTTAGGTATGAGAAACTGAATCTTACTAAACATTACATAAGCACTTTTTAAACTACTTTCTTTAGTAAAAATAGTTTATAAGTACATAATATTATACATCAACCTTTTAACTTTTTTTTTAATCATCTTCTTTTCCTCTTCTTCTGGTTTATCCAAACGCCGCGATCATCCCGTCTTACAATAAATTATCCAACTATCCTTATCTAATGCCAAAGTATTCCAATTTGTTCCACCTCCTTATTCGCACATCTCCCTTCACTGTATCATCCCACCTTATTTTGGTTTATTAAGGGACTTTTTCCTTCACGATTTTGTTTCATCACCACTCATAGTAATGAGTTTCATTTCCTTGTTGCATGTCTTGCCAAGCACAATCTACCTATATGGTAGTCACTGCAATGATATTTCGTTGTACATTGCTTCTAACTCCTTATTTTTTTCCCGTCATCGCTCTAATGTTACAATATTATCTTCTATTGGCCCGAAAATCTTTAGTATTTTTTCAGACCCGTAAAATATTTTCTTGCATGAGTATAAAATCATCACTAATTCTAAGTAACTATATTATGACTCATGAATCATGATTGATTAAAAATATTTTATTACCTGAACAATAACCTGAAAAAAAATTTTATTTGTCCATCATCTTGTCTATTTACTACAAATTACTTAAACAATTAAAAATATTTAACAATCCGTCCAATAATGTTGTATACGTCATTCAATTTTTAAACAACTATTTTAACTGCAAATTATATTCTAAAATCTATGTACAAAAAATATGATGATAATATTCATTGATCAAAACAAAATTATTTACAATGTATCAAACAAATGTCATGAGTTATGAAATTTGTAATAACATTTAACTATATTTCGGCTGATATATTAGAATAAGTGTATACAAATGTAATGTCAGAAGTAGAATAGATATGCCGATCTTGGCACCGCCACTCCGCCAACCACCAACCGCCTACCGCCACTCCACCACTCCGCCACTTTCACCACGTACGTACACCGCAAAATGTGACACCGCCACTTAACCCCTCACGACCAACCTAACCTAACGTAGGTAACTTGAGGGGTTGAATGGCGGCTTCACATTCTGCTGTGTACGTGCGGGGTGGCGGTGTACGTACGGGGTTAAGGTGGTGGAGTGGCGGAGTGGTGGTTGACGGAGTGGAGGTGCCAAGATCGGCATATCTATTCAGTCTACTGTCAGAGTATTTCAATTTTCCTCCAAAATCATAAATAGGTAAAGGTAATTTACTTTTTAAAACATCTCTATGTATAACATTTTTATAAACTATATTATATCATGGTAAATTGAAGAATAAAAAAATGGTACTAGTTTTGTTTGTCTCTAGATCATCATTTGATAACAATAAAATTGGTTTTTCCTTTTAAATGAATTCTGAAGAATTACACAAATCATAACAAATAAATATCGAAAAAATAAAAACTTTAACACAAAATAATACAGTCATAAATAGTCAATAATTCACCCTTACTGCGTAATATTTCTCCATTTTTCTGTAAATCATTAGCCACTGCAGGCATAACCCAAATTGCAATTGCTATAAATGTAAGGGTAATCAAATAATACTTAAAAAAAAACATTTTGATGTAATAAAATAAAATAATAAAAAAGAACTGTGTGAACGTTAAACAATAATGAAATAAAATATTACTTATCGATTGTCTTTATAAGCGACATGTTTCTTATTCACATTCTTTCAGTATAAAATAAATAATGTTCACAATAAGCTGTTGACTTAAAAACAACTAGTATAATATTATGACTATAAAGTAAATATAGCATTATTTTTTTTTTCGATGAACGCCATATTTCCCAAGTAACAAAAAAATATTTTTTAAATGTTTTAAAAAATGATATAAAAAGGTTAATTTTATAAATGTTAATAAAATATTCAAATGATGGCCAGTTTTCCATCGAAAATAAAATGTTAAAACATTATTTTAAATATATGAAATAAATGTTTATTAAAAACATTTTTTAAATATTTTGAAATTATTTAATAAATATTCCTATGAATCATTTTAAAAATATTTAAAAATATTTTTTCCTCTAAAATTATGAAGAAAAAACATTTTTTAAATATTATTAAATGTTTTTTTTCAGTGATGTTATACTACGCACTTATTAATTATACCTATTGTGTGTTTATTGTTTATATCTATAAATAATAATAAAAAAAAAAGTCATAATTTGAACATAACCATTACTCCATTATTAGTAAATTATAATATTAAAATAACAAATAAATAATTCTTGTCCTGTAGTAGTATCATTGATGGTATATTTAATCAATGGTAGTATGAAAAAAATAATTAAAACTATTTATGTTAGTCCATTTTATGCCCGCTTGATCGTCATGTTTTTGACTGTCAGAATTTTGCAGCTGTGATGGTGACATTTTGTTATGATTAGCTGTGATGTTTCCAGTGCTATCCTCTTTTTTTTTTAATACGGCTTCAATCCTTTAAAAAAGTATATATATATATTAATTACAAAAATTTTAAATATACACCTCATTTTAAAATTATTCAAATTATGATATGTTTGCATTTTGTTTAGATTTAAAATAGAAACAGAAATTTAATACTCAAATACTATTTTTAGATGTGAAAAAAAATAGTTTTGTTAGAAGTATTTATAAAAATAAGGGTATAAAAAAGGTTAACAATACTAAATCAAATAATTTTTAATGGCTGATATACATTTTATCTTTTTCGTAAGAGAATGTCTTAGTAAAACTAAATGGTTTTTGACAATAGAAAATCTAATTTCCCTAAATTGTTAATGACATTCAGATTGTGTTACCAGTTATTAATTGTTCATAGGTATCATTACGACTTGTTCAGTTTATATAGTTGGTCAATGGTCATAGATTAACGTGATATCATAATAGTGTAAGGAATCATTTAAATATAATATGTAATATGTATATATAGAGTGTTATAGATATTTTCTATTATAATATAGTTTCCGTTTTAGAGTGTGTCTTTTCATGGAGGCTTTACTACTGTATATATTATAATGATAATATAAAAACACTTACTGATAGGACCATGTTTGAATTGATTGAATAACAGTACATTTAACACTAATTTCTTTGGGAAACTTCTTACAGGCTGCATCTAATAAAATAAATTAGTTAAAATATGTATCCCATAGGTGTATTTTTAAAAAAAAAATAAGAAAAATAATTTAGTGGTATGAAACTATGTGGTAAATTAATACTTAAATCTCTTTGAGTTTTAAGTTTGAAGAAACTTTTGTATATTTTAATTATTTTTAAATAAAACAAAAATGTAAGTGTTATTGTTATTTTTTTTTAATGTATTTATAGTACTCGAGGTAAAAAGTGAGCCACTAAAGTACCGCCCCCAGTGGCATTTTTTCAGTAACTAGTAATATATGGCCCTTTCCAAAAATACGCCACTGGGGCCTGGGGGAGGTACAATCGTGGCTCACTTTTCACAACGCGAACTAAAGTTCTAATTTTTTACCACACATGTTTTTTGTTTGTTTAAAGCACCCAAAGTAAGAAAACAAAATATATTTTACCTTGTTTATGAATAATCATTTCTTATTTAATTATTTGTGACATATGTTATTTAGAATACCGAGCTTCTAGGAAAGTCTTGGGTTGGTTGCAATGTTGTTGGTTGTGTAAAACACAATAAGTATTTGACAAAAAGTATTGTACCTAGGTTTTTTAATTACAATGCGTACCTATGCATTTTGTTGTTGAAAAGTATCATAACTTTAATTTGTGTATAATTTATTTACCTACATAGTATAAACTATGTTTTATTTATCATTATATATATTAATATATTATATATTATTTATCATACTTTGACTCGCAGTCATTCAGAATATTTTTAACTTTTTAATACCCAGAAGGCCAGAAGCCAGAAACCTATTGAATTTTAATTGTTAACATGTTCAGGTAATGAATAATAATTCATAATTTATATTTAATTCAAATTCAAAAAATCAAAAATAACGTACATAATATATAGTAGTCATAGTCATAGAAAATATATACATAGGTAGTGAATATGTGAGAAAACGTAGTCCTCCTATCGAACGACGCGCTTCTGGTGGCAGAATAACCTTACGACTTTTGTCGACCCATTTTTATGACAGGCGGCTATAGGAGTTTGGTCCACGAATTAAGATATACAGGATACGAAACGAACTTGTGATAAGTGAAACCCGCACCTTCTCACATTGCGGCCAGACTACTAGCGCGATCTCGAGACATAATCAGTTAATTTAATCACCCGCTCATTTTGAATCACGAATTAAGATATTATTTTTCCCTCGAAATTTAAAAGAAAATGACAGATTGATATGGGTACATAATACATATTTTGTTTATTGTTATGATTATTAACTTAAAAAGTATCACTCAATTATTAATACTTAAAGTTAGTTTTAATTATTTTCGATGCCTCGTTTGGACAAATGTTGTGTTGATAATTGTTTAGGGACATCTAAATCAAGGTTTCGTATTCCTACAATTTCACATGATAGTTGGGAAAGGTCATTGGGAAAAACTTTAAATAAGAGATCTAGAATATGTGGGGATCATTTTCTAGAGAATGATATAATAGATACTTGGGTATCAGGTGAAGGAAACAGCAAATATTCTGTAAGTAGAAACATACTTATTTTGTAATTTTGGAATTATTGTCAAAATCAATCATAATATTATAATAACTACACTCAAATCAATAGTTGACATTTGACATCTCTCTATTTCTCTATTTAAGATATGTTTAAAAAGGCCCCGTTTGAAACCTGGAGCTATACCTGTCTTAAATCTTCAAAACGAAAAAGAACCCTCTACAGCAGTTAAATCAATAAAAACAGATTCATCGAGTCAGATCATATCCCATGTAAGTATTTATTAAATGAGATACTTTAGGTACTACATACAACTACCAGAACTATATCCCAACATTAAATTACAGAATGATGTTCCTATGTGTCAAGATGATAAAAGTAGTGAAATCTCATCTTTTAATGATTCATGTTCTCAAGATAATTCTTATGTAAGCATAATGATGTGTACTTTAAAATTCATGCTTACCTTAATGAAAATTATAAATTTTATTATTTAGAACAACGAATATATGTGTCAAAGTAAAAGAAATGAAGTTTCAATGTCTTCTGATGATTCTTGTTTTCAAGATAATTCTTATGTAAGCATAATGATGTGTACTTTAAAATTCATGCTTACCTTAATGAAAATTATAAATTTTATTATTTAGAACAATGAATATATGTGTCAAAGTAAAAGAAATGAAATTTCAATGTCTTCTGATGATTCTTGTTTTCAAGATAATTCTTATGTAAGCATAATGATGTGTACTTTAAAATTCATGCTTACCTTAATGAAAATTATAAATTTTATATTTTATTAGATCAATATTTCTACAAGTCAAAATCAAATAAGAGATAATACAATTTTTCCTAATGCTACATGTTCTCAGAATATTCCTTATGTGAGTAATATTATTGATATTAAATAAGAAATTTTTCTTATAATAAAATCATTATAAATATACTGAAATGTTATAGGAACCTATATTCTACATATTAACATCTGAAAAAAGTCCTGTTGTTCAATTGCCTCCGATGTGGTTCCAAGATATCTCTTTTAATGAATCCAATAAAAAGTTAACTATTTCTTATTTTAAATTAGGGCGTTATAATTCTAACTACCAACGTACTATAGAAAAACAATTAATAATTACTCAAGGTAATGTAACCTTTTTTTTAAAGACTAATTTTTCATATTGAATATAATACAATATAAATTAGAATTTAACTATTAGTTTATTTGATTATTAATCTTAATTATAGATTCACTGATTATAATTCAAGTTTTTAATGAAAATATCTCCCCTGAACAACAACAAACATTATTTCCAATGGCATCCCATAAAGTTTTAAGTATTAAAGATATAGAAGATTTTATTAAAACTCTTGATGGTATAAATGTTTGTTATGGAGCAGTTTTAATTAGTAAATACCCAAATATCAAAGCGTCGTTTGGTTACCAATATCAAACTATGAATGGTTATTGGAAACATACAAAATGTTCAAAAATAATACTTGAAAAAAGGCAAGTGCTAATACAAATCTGATGTGTTCCAGTTACATAATAAACTTATGTCTTTAAAAATATGTATTTTTATTTTCAGTTCCATTTGCTTGTGGTGCACACGACTGAAATTCTCTATTAGAAAAAAACAAGCACAATTATCAAATAAAAAAGGAATTAAAATTTTTTTTTCACCATCTAAAAAACAAAGATTACAAAAATTAATACGCACTAAAATATATAACAGACAACAAGTTAGAAGAGCAAATATAAAAATTTCTCAGCTACAAATAGATTTGAATGCTGTACAAAATCAGATGAATGAAATATCAAATAGTATATTGACAAAAGTAATCAACAACTCAGAAATTCCTAAATGTCAATCAACCTTATTACATGAAATTTTTGAAGCAGCAAGGTTTAAAAATAAAAAAAATAGGCGTTACTCAGATAGTTGGATGATTCTTTGTCTTTTGTTTCAGATACGGTAATTACAAATTATAATTATCATTATTACCATAATTGTTAATCTATTGTGTTCATTTTTAACAATGTTTTTTGCAGTTCTCCATCGGGTTATAACTTTTTACGACAGCAAAACTTATTACCATTACCATGTACTAAAACTATTCGAACACATTTATTAGCGGTCAAGCATGAGTGTGGATTCGATATGGGATTTTTTGAGTTGTTGAAAAAAAAATTTGAAGAAAAAAGTGAACAGCAAAAAAAAGGAGTTCTCCTTTTAGATGAAATTTTCTTAAGGACAAGTCTTAGTGTTACAACTCGTACATTATCCTACAGTGGTCAGGAAGATTTTGGAGGGGAAATTGAGAGTAAAGTTGGAAGTCCAGAACTAGCTGACCATGGCCTTGTTTTCATGTGGCAGAGTCTGGCAGATAATATTACTCAACCTATAGCCATTTTTGCCTCTAAAGGTCCAGTAAAAGGTTTGGTTACATTTCATGATGTTCAATAAAATATTATTTAATAAATATTTATTTCAACTTTTATATTAATCTTATTTTAAAACAGGGATTGATTTAGTACAGTTAGTGATCAAAGCCATACTTTTGTTGGAAGATGCAGGGTTACAAGTCATGGCACTCACTTGTGATGGTGCATCCACGAATAAAACATTAGTTAAAGAATTAGGAATTAGTGGAAAGCGATCAGATTTAAAACATTTTTTTATCAATCCATATGATGATAAAAGAAATATATATGTTTTTATTGATGCACCTCATACTATTAAAAACATAAGAAATCGATTATTTCAACAAAAACAATTGAAGGCAAGAATACAAAATAATCATACAAATGCAGTGATTAATTATAATATGAACAATTTATTTTTAAAATCTATATTATTTTTAGTTTCATCCATCGAAGATGTTTATAAAATGGGACCATTACTGTCATGTTTTTGAAAATGACTCGAAAAACATGTTGAAAATATGTCCCAAGATTACTAGAAATCACATAGAGTTAAATAATTTGACCAAAATGAAGGTCAAGTTTGCAACCCAAGTAAATTTTGGCAGAATTATAATATTTTATACAACTCATTAGTTACTACTTACAACTGACCTACTTATACTATGTCTCAATAGATTTTTAGTAATTCAATGGCGGTGGGTATTGAATATTATCGTACACAAAATTGCTATGGACTTAAAGATTCATTAGAAACTCAACATTTTACAATTTTATTAAATAATATGTTTTACGCAATGAACAGAAAATTTCCTGCTGAAGTAATTAGAAAAAACAGCAAGGATCTAGAGGTTTTTTGTTATGTCATATACCTGTGGATATTTGTATGCTAAAATCCTTAATTGTTAACTATGTAATATACATTTTAATACTGTAGCAGTTTTAGTTTAACTAAATTTGATTTTAAGGTTTTTTTAAATATATGTACCTATGTGTTTTATAAAATATTTTTTTGTTATTTGGGCTATTTGAAAAATGAGTAAATTTGATTGAATGTCTAGTAACTACCAAATAAATTTATTTTGTATTTTTGTTTTAAATTATATTACTAACATTCAAATGTTTGAAATCTCTATGTAGTAGTAGTTTAATACATTCAATGTTTATTGTTTATTATAGGTATGTGATTAATTTTTAAATGTATCTATTCTTACAAATATTGAAATATTGTATAAAGATATACCTTAATTTGTGGTAGACGTGCAGTTTTAGTTAACATTCAATGTTTATTATATTATGTGGTTTGGTGGTCTCCTTATCTCTAGTCTTCATGATCATAAGAAATTCATGATAAATAATAATGATAATAGTCGGCTATTTTAAATCGTTATCACCGACGCGTTTACTGTTTGTGTTCCCCAATCAGCATTCGACAATCAGTATTCAGTAATCGGTACTATTCACTGCACTCGTGTTAGCCGTCCACTTTTTTCGTATTCACTATTCACCGCAAAATACAACAACTATACAAGAGTTCATACTGAAATTTACAATTATTCAAAGTCAAAAATCATTTTGATCGACTTCCGATATATATATATTTCATCTGCGGTATTATTTTTCCTCATTTCTACAGGCTGATCGTGGTCTGCGGTCTTAAACCAACATGAGCCGCCGTCGAGTTCATGAGAGTTACGAAGATCTGTATGGTAAGTTGTTTTTAAATTTTCTCACATTTCCCAGAGTCGTTATCAGAGAACCTGGTATCGTGATTTCTACACAATTAATAATAATCGTAAAAAAATAAAACATTAGGTTACCGAACTTATCAATAATTATTTGAGTCATGTGTCACCGAGTGGCTTCTTTTCAGTTTGCACAATGTCCACACCTGATTTTATTCAATAACAATTATCTATATAATATTACATCTAGACTTATAGCTAATTGTATATGTGCCTAGTCATGTATTAAAGTCCAGAGTACTATAAATGTATAGACACTGGTCCATAACTAGGTATTCTGTTTTGTTCAAACAATGAAACAGATGAAAAAATAGTTCATATTTAAATTCTATTAACTCTACCTGTAATTATCCTCAATCTCTAATTCCCGGAGAGTATAATATGAACTATTAATATAGGGATTATTAGTATCAAATATATTTTGAATCTGATTATAAATTAATTTGGTTTTGAAAATACTCATCTTGGTATAGGTACTTACTGAAAAGTGTGTTTAACCAAATAAAAATAAATGAGTTCATACAACTTTTTTTACAATATGCCACTTTTTCTGCCCTTCCTAATCAGTCATATTTTGGACATGCCCATAAAGTTTATTTTTATTCATTCATGTTACAAATAATTCAAATTAATGTATTTAAAACTTAACTTTATCATCATTGATCATTTGTATTTTCAATATTTTATATTGATGTTCATAAAAAATATTAAGTTTACTGTAATTTTGTATAATAATTAGGTAATTGGTATTTACAACTTTAAATAATTTTAATGCATAAAAAAAAATTATGTTGTTATTGTAATTTTTAGGTGCTGATCGAGGCTATAAAAAACGCCGTCGTGGTGGTTCTGAAAGTAATGATTTAGAAGATAGATTGGAAAGCCTTGTTCTCAAAGTTGGAGAAAACGTAATTTTTTTGTTTATTATTAATAAGCTTCTTTTTATTTTTCACATACAACTTACCAATAATATTGAAATAAAATTTCATTTTATTTTTGAGTATGATTTCATTAGTTTAATTGTTTGAAATATTTGGATACATATTTCAAATATTTTTTTGTAAACTATTTAGTTTGATCAATTATTTTATGATACACCTATTATTAATAATTTTATTTCTTGATTTATTTTCATGGACAGACTACCAGCACAATAGAAAGTAATTTAGAAGGTTTGGCTAGTGTACTAGATGGCGATATACAAAACTTTAAGAAAAAAGTACTCAAATTATTAGTAGAATGTGCAGTTAATATGCCGGAAAAGTGTACAATTTATTCAACTTTAGTTGGCTTATTAAATGCTAAAAATTATAATTTTGGTGGTGAAGTAAGTGAACTTAATATAATAATTAATTACAATATTCTTATTGTAGGTACTATTTTATTATGTGTGACTAATCATAATCATAAAATTTTTTTGGAAAATTTAGTTTGTAGAAAACATTGTACGTTCTTTTAAAGATAGTTTAAAAAATAATTGTTGGAATGAAGCTAGAGTAGTTCTACGTTTCATTGGTGATTTGGTGAATTGTCATGTTGTGTCAGCTAGTTCATTTGTACAATTAATGAGTAGTTTATTAGATGTTACTAAAGAAGATGGAGTTCCTAATGTACGCAAAGACTGGTAAGTAAAAGAATGTTTAGTTGAAAATTATTTTTTTAACGGTTGATGTATTTGTTTGTAACAGGTATTGTTATGCTGTTATGTCATGTTTACCGTGGGTTGGTAGAGAACTATATGAGAAAAGAGAATCACCTCTTGAAATGTTGTTGACAACAATTGAGGTATATTTGAATAAGCGTCCAAAAAAGCATGTTAATATGCTGCGGATTTGGTCCACAGATGTACCTCATCCCCAGGAAGAGTACTTGGAATGCTTGTGGAATCAGGTAAAAAAACTGAAGCATGACAGTTGGACTGAAACCATTATACCAAGACCTTACTTGACATTTGACAATGTTTTGTGTGAAGCTCTTCAGCATAATTTGCCACCCATTGTGCCACCCCCTCATCATAACGCTTGTGTATATCCAATGCCATGGGTTGTATACCGAATGTTTGATTATACAGATGTCACTGATGTGAGTTAATATTGATTAACAAAACAATTTAAATTTAGTTTTTGATATTCATTTTAAACCAAAATATACATTTAGGGTCACATTATGCCTGGCGCCCACTCCATTGAACGATTTTTAGTTGAAGAACATCTACAACAGATAATTGATATGTCATCTAAAAATAGAAAAGAATGGTAATATTTAACAAAAAATGACACCCACATTCAAACTTAAATTTTTTACTCAAATGTATGAATTTATTTTATTTTATTATTTCTAGTGCAACTAATTTAATGAATTTTGTTCACAAAAACAAAGTGCCTCTAGA